GCCTTTTCTACCTCCTGCCCCTCCCCCACCAGCACTGCCTCCCTGCTGTGCAAAGAGCCCTTTGTCCTGCCCTGCACTTATCTAGCTGTTTGGCCATATTGACAGGCCTACTGGAGGCATAATAAGGGAGTCAGTCTGACATAAGCAGCTGGCAATTTGAAACAAAAATCTTCCTTTTCTACTCAGACCAAATCCTGCTGCAGAGGTCTCTGGCTCCTCCCATGCTTCTATCTATTTCTCAAACACAGCAGCAAGAAATTCGGCATTTTTCTCTCCATTAGGTAGCACAAATCAAAAACTTAATTCCCTAGATGGAAACCAATTCCCTATAAATTCCTGTAGTCACTGCTTTTTGTGATTCACAATACAGACCAAAAAGCCAGGTCTGGGTATGTATATGTTAGCAAATATGGCTAAGAAAATGAATCTTATTACTTTAAATTGCCATTAAAGCTTTGGAACTCCTCATACCCACAAGGAATCCAGAAGAGCTCAGAGAAAGCAGACCAACCAAACAGAAATATGCATTAAGAAAAACTGGTCAATAATCTTAGTACTTTAAAAATCCTAAGACATTACTCCAATAAGCAGTAAATTCCTTTCCCCAGTCTTCATATCAAAGGTATTTAATGTGACCTTACATTAAGTAAGGTATTCCTTCAGTTATTCAGCAAATGAAATCAATATGATAGAAAAATTGAGTGAGGCAGGATGAGATTACAAATTCTTTGCTCAGTGAGGGCACAAGCAGACTGAGATTTAGCTTCATTGTTCCTTTATTATATCCCAAAGGTCCCTTCATTAAGTGTTAACAGTTTGAACACATTTTGTCAGAGTAAGAGACGTCTCTAATGCGATGCTAAAGCACCCCCCCAAAAAATTACTGGGTTTCCTTTACTCAGTTTATAATTAAATACATAACAAGACACTTTTCATAAGACTCTGATTTAACAACATATGTGTAGATAGATAAGTGAAGGAAAAGATATTCTCTCTACCTTTCATGGATTTCATTGAATCCTAACCACAAAAGATTCAAACATTACATCAAGTGAATGGTTAAAATGCTATCTTGCCCCATATCTTGGACTACCAGTTGCATCATCAAATATAAATTATCTTACACATTTTGCAAAGTATTGTCTTAAATGAAATATATATGTCAAGAAATTTCAGTTTTCAACACCTGAAACACAATTTTTATAAATAAACTTTCCTGCTAGGCCTTCTAGCTTGAAATTAAACTGACAAATCACCAAAGTTTAGCCAAAAATTATTTTCAAAATTTTATTCCACTCATGATGCAGTTTTTCTCTGATAAAACATATCCAATAATCATTGTTGCTATGGTCTAATGTTTCATAAGTTACTTCAATATGAAGAGGATAAAACAAAACTAATTAACTATACATCCACATCTCGAACTTTATCACTTTCCCATACAAAGGTAAAAATGAAATAGCCACTCTCCCCAGTAAGGCAAGAAAAACTTCAGAAAGTCCCTGGACACAAAAAAGTATCAAAAGATGTAAAAAAATTCAAGTATATTAGTTAAGCAAATCCTTTTATGAAAAGGGCCTCTATGGTCCTTCAGAAACTAATTATATCAAGACCACAAAGGGTTCCAAACAAGAAACACAAGTGAAAAAGCAATTATTTTATATGGCAACTTAAATCATATAAATAAGCAGTTTAAACTAAAAACATTTATATCTTCAACTATGTCAAATAGCCAGTATGAATGAAATTATATTTATCTAATATGGCATCTTATATATGTGATAGTAATAAGAATTAAACCACAGAAAATACTATCCATTAAAGCTTCTGTTTCATTGGTCTGCTTTTTCTTACTGGTAAAACAACATGAGACACATTTGTTGATTTTTCATTCTTTTTGGTTCTTTGCCAAATGCCAGAGTCATATTACAAATTATAGATGTCTGTGGGATATAAGCACATTTATACAAAACGGAACAAAACAAAATTCTGAGGGGAAAAAAGTACAGAATGCAAGAGCCTTGGGGGGGGGTGGGGACAGCACACTGGCATATACGTTAAGTACTTTATGTAACTGGTGGTATATTTGAGTGGTGGTTTTCCTTCAAGAACGTCTATGCCCAACAGACTGTTCTGCTTAATCAGAGATCATCTTAATGTTCAGAAGTTGTGGGGGAGGGGAGACCACATAAGGGGCTCAGAGGCCATCTTCTCAGTATCCTGAACTAGACTTACTCCATTTCTGCAAATTCCTTCTGGTCTGTCCTACATTTCAGATGGAACATGGCCAAAAGCACATCTTTGTGATGTCAGAAGACTACATATGACATGTATATACTGAATCAATTTTATAGGTCAAAAGAAAAAATCTAACCCTGAGAAAGTAATTACTAATAGAAATTGAGGAAATATTTATATTTAGAAATCATTCCAAAAAATGGCAGCTCTTTTTAGAGTTTAAGATTCTAAGTTTAGTAAAATGTTTAGCAAATCATCTGGTTCAGTAAGATAAATATGGCCTAATCAATGGAAGGAGACAACAACAAAAAAATGATTCAGTGATTAAAGAGATGGAGGAAAATATGTCAGCTGCAGGGGAAAAAAATCCTGATTTCCCCTCATGCTGATTCTCAGAAAGATCCTTAAATTCTTATTACTTTGGATTTAAATGGATTCAAAAATTAAAACTCTAATGGAACTTTCAATCCTATCTTAGCACAAATCCCCGGATAAAAAACAAAAATCTGCCACAAAAACCAAAACCAAACAAACAAAAAAAGAAAGTCTTTAACTATGATCCAGTTTCCAGATGTTGATATCCATCGATGGGTAGAAGGTTATGAATTGCTAATTCCCATCTCCCCACCAATAAAAGGCAAACCAGCTCAGCAATGAAAATTCCCAGGAAAGCAAGGTTTCTTCCTAGTCCTGAAGCAGCCATTGCCTAAGTGCAGCTCCCTGCAGCCAGCAGCATTAATGGACGCTGCACTGCTGTCCTTCCCTGGAGACAGCAGCCAGCACTACTCAAGCTTCTCACGTAGCAACCAGAGCTCCAGAGCCAGCAGCTGCTGCTGCCTTGTATACTCACCCCTGTGATCCAATCCAAAGGAACAACCTTCTCTTTACCCCACCCCCCACTCCTTACACACACTTTTTTTTTTTGGACCAGCGCTTCATGCCAGAAGGGCTGGAATTATGCTTTTAGAAACAATCCTAAGGTCACCCTTTTAAGCTAAGGCCTTTATTAAGAAAAAAAAAATCAACATTTACCAAATTCCAAATATACAGTTTAATTAAGCCAGAAATTTAGGAGTGAAGATTAAGCTTTGTTTTTTCTTAGAAGGCCAATTTTCCCAGCACTCTACAGTCGAATTTAAATTTGCAGCTAGAAACAGGGCCTTGTGTCATGCCCTACCAAAGGACATAATTCATTTTTCTACACATAATGACAGACTGAGTAAACCTTAAAGACTCTAATCCCATAACGGGCCAGAATTTTTGGCTACAGAAGAGAACTAATGATCCTGAGAAAACTGGAGGAAATCCAACACAAAAAAATTTTTCTGTGTCCTCCAAGAGGCCTAGAAATCTCTGATTAGGTGAATATTCTGCTATAGTCCTAGCTCAGACTCCACATATCTAATATTACCACTTAAAACTTTTCTCTCAAAGATCTAAAATCATTAATAACATAAAAATTACCATCAAAAGTAATTTTTTTTTCAAACAGAGAGTACATATTATCTTGAAAAGCTCACAACACTCAGTTCTGCTGGATCTTCCACAATCAAAAGTATGGTCATGTAACATTTGCCCAACAAAGAAATGTAAATATGACCTTGGTCACAACTATGTCACCTAAAAACAACTTAGTCAAGAGATGACGGAAACTGGTAGAGAACTTGGGGATTCTTTCAGTGCTATGAGCACTTAGAAAATTGAAGAAATGAACTTAAGTACAGACAAAGCCCAGTGAAACCCAGAGCTCTGGGCAAGAAACGAGTTACTGGTGAACACATTGCACAAGTAACATGAGAAAGCAGAAAATGCAGGTCATACACGCACCCCTGACCCAGACCAGCAGAGCTGGCTGCAGCATCAGCATCCTAGAGAAAGACCACTTCTGCCTAAGAGAGACAAGCAAAGCAGCTCTATAGAATAAATTAGCATAGAAGGGGCTTTCCCAACAGTGAAACTTTCCCTCTCATGCAATTTACCTACTCGAACAAGGGCTTTTCCCAATCATTCACTTCACATCCCTGGCTTGCACGCAGAGGGAAAGAGAATTCATAAAGGGTAAATTTTTCTGCTTTTAAAGATGTTCTCCAAAGATCGCTCTCCACGCCCAAAGCAAGGAAAACGACACAATCTGGCTCAACTCCAGGCTCGAATCCTACAAATTCAATAAGACTGTCTCAGAGACACTGGGGCACACGCCACGGGGAGCCCAAGAATGCGAGGTGGGGGTGGCGAAGGTAAGGTCTTTAGCAGGCAGCCATCTGAGATGGGAACCCAAGAACGAGACGGAAGGCGCCCAGGAAGATTGGGGAAGGGAGATCGAGGCTTCCCAGAGCGATCAGAGTTGTCTGTCACAAGGCCGCGAGAATCGGGGTGGGGAGTGCGGGGATCGCGGAGAGAAAAAAAAGTATGCGTGTGTATTCTGAGAGCAGGCCTACCGTCAAGTACAAGGTAAACGTGGAGTAGGCAGTTCCCAGGAAAAGGGGTGAAGAGGCATGGGGGAGGGGAAGCGTCCTGATCCAGGAAAGACCTGAAAAGGGCAGTGGGCTTGACTAGATTACAGAGGAGGTCTCTCTCCCTGGGAAAGAGAGGCGCAACGGTGTGTGGAGGGCGGCGAAGGGATGAGAAGGGACGGCATCCTCCTGCTCTGAACCAGGCCCACGACGCAAGGAGAGCGAGCGCGGGGAGACGGAGGAGGTGACCCTTCCCTCCCCCGGGGCCCGATGGTGAGGGTCGGTCTCTCTTTTCTGTCGGACCCTTACCTTGTCCCAGGCGCTGCCGGGGCCTGGGCCCGGGCTGCGGCGCACGGCACTCCCGGGAGGCGGCAGGACTCGAGTTAGGCCCAACGCGGCGCCACGGCGTTTCCTGGCCGGGAATGGCCCGTACCAGTGAGGTGGGGGTGGGGGGCAGAAAGGCGGAGCGAGC